GATTATCAAGGTTATCTTACAAAACATTAAAATCATCTTTTTCTTATAAAATTTTTGCTTTTCTCATTGGTGTCATCAGTGTACAACTATTTATTCTTTTTCTTAATTACTCAGTTGATTGTGGAAATAGTTCTCTTGAGGTTGATAAATTTCAATTTCTAAATAAAAGCTGATTTATTTTACTTCTGTGCAAACGTGCATGACGACTTCTTGTTGTATATCCACTGCTCAAAAAAGAGTGCTTTTAAAATATTAATTGCCGAAATACATAGCATTCGTTGAGCTATTGCAGACAGTATAGAGTTAACTATGTACTATTGTTTCAATATATAGAAACATTCACACCTTTTCCGACTTTTATCTGATCCCCAACGTATCCTGTGAATTCAGTCTTTATTTCTTTTATCAGCGTATAACTTATCTAATGGTATTAGAAAGCATCTACACCCTCAGAATATGAATAAAAAAACATTGCAGATTGATATTATCGACAATAAATAACTTCAATTTCTGTGTAGCCTACCATAACCTATGTCACATTTTGAAAATTGTAATGCTGTGAAAAACTAATATCAGACAACGATAGTTTTTTAAAATATAAAAAAGTGAAATACCACTCGGGCTTCTGAACACCTTACGGGAACGGGAAGTGGGCAGGCTTCGTAGTTCCTATATTTCCTATATATAGGAAATAGCTTTATATTGTTTTATATTTGAACTATAGATTGTATTTTTCTATATTCTAGTGGTACATAGCGCTCATTACTAAAATATAGAAAAATAGGATCTTTACTTCAGATGTAGAACGATATCAAGCTATTTCCTATATATAGGAAATATAGGAACTACGAAGCCAGGAAGTGGGATCAGGAACAAACATTTTTCTTACGAGAATTGGAACAAACATTTTTCTTACGGGAACGGAAACAAACATTTTTCTTACGAGAACGGAAACAAATATTTTTCTTACGAGAACGGGAACAAACACTTTTCTTACGGGAACGGAAACAAACATTTTTCTTACGAGAACGGGAACAAACATTTTTCTTACGGGAACGGGTGTGAGTGTGGATGTGGGGTGTGGTGGGTGTGGGTGGGTGTGGGTGCGGGTGTGGGTGTGGGTGCGGGTGTGGGTGGGTGTGTGGGTGTGGGTGGGTGTGGGTGAGTGTGGGTGTGGGTGGGTGTGGGTGGGTGTGGGTGTGGGGTGTGGGTGAGTGTGGGTGTGGGTGTGGGTGTCTTTTCTGGTATCAACAACCCCACCCCCACCCCCACCCTCACCCACCCCACCCACACCCCGTAAGAGGATGTGCTTACAAAATTTTCAAAAGTTGAGGTGGTGCGCACCACCCCGCACCCCGTGCTCGCCACATCTCTGGCAGATATACATCCTAAATAAGATGATAAATGAGAGTCTCACGCTATATAAGGTCGTTTTCAATGTAAAATTTTCAGAAATGAACTGATGAAGTAGTGTAATGGCCATCATACACTAAGGATGGCGATAACACTACTACTCCAGTTTCTCAATGTTGATTAACAATAAAATAAATGCTGCAGCAGTAATGAAATAGCCTATCCATATTTCGTTACACTATACATAGAAAATTTTTGTAGATGTCATCCTCTTAGAGTGTGCTCTTACTAGTGAAGAAAATTTACTATCAACTTCACTATCGATTACCTGTTCTTGGAGAACTGAGTAACAAAAAGTTCATGCACTTGATTTTTTCTACTAAGGAAGAATGCTTTGATCATCATTATATTTAATTCGAAGTAATCAATCATAATAAGTAAATGATTTAAATATGAATGTGAGTAAAACAGAAACTCATTTTGAGGAAGTCACGTATATTTTAGTGAGTGCAAGTTTTAAGGTCAAAGTTTTCCGGCTTCCCCATTATATACCTTAGCGACTGAGTATAAACGGCTTCAAATTCTATATAATATGCCAATGCTTTCATAGATATTCGAAAAAAAGTTAAATCAGATGTCAGGATAACAAGTTTAAAAAATATACGTAAGTTTCACATATGAGCTTCTTTGGAGCTACGCTAACAAATTTTTTTATATTTTCAAACGAAGACTTATATACTCTTAAGATTTTATAATAAAATCTATACGAATTTAAATTTTACTTTTGCATGCTATGTATTCATTGAACTTAATACTACTATAAAGAAAAATATATGTTTTAGATTGATATTCAAAGCAAGTAAATAGTGATCTCGACCAAATAGACAATATAATGAATGAAGAAATACCAGTTGATGATGTCGAAACGGCCAAATTAATTTCGACCAAGTCGTTTTCACCATCTTCCATTACAGAAGATCTTGTTGGCATACTCGTATTGGGATCAAGTGTGACAGAAATAGATTCTATTCATTCGATATTGCTAGAAGAATTTCCAAAGCTTACTATCAAATGTTACACATAACATGAAGCTTGTCTCAATCGTATCCAAGCATGGACAAAATTCGATATTCGTGTTCTCGTAATTGTTACATCCATCTCTTTAGCAAGTACTCATATTTTACCTAATGTTGACAGTAATGACGTAGCTGTATTTATTCTGGATAAAAAATATCGTGAATATGATTATCTTTGTGATAAATATCCATCACTTGTCGATGTATATACAGAAATGAAAGAACTGATCGAAAATCTTCGTGAATATGTTTATCTCGATAACGTATATTATCTACCTCGAAATGATTGCTTTTTACATTATTTATGTGGTGTTTTTGTTCCTTGTACTATTATATGTTGTCTCTCAAAACGATGTCGACAATGGTTTTGGTATAAACAACCATCAAGTAGACGACTTTTATAATTAAAATTTGTACATGGTAAACCTTAAAAAAGAAAATAAAAGTATTATTGATACAAATACATCTATTTAGCAAGAATGATGTTAAATTTATTTCGCGTTATCTTGTTTTTCTCTAGACTTCATTGCTTCTTTAAAGTATAAATGTAAGTAGTGTAATATTCTTTTTGATAATCTCACTATCTAACAATCAATATTTTCTATTAAATAAAAGTTCATCGAAATATAACAAATCAATGCAAATAGAAATATCATTTCATAAAATTTTGTAAACACTATCCTTCGTTAGAATTTCGATAGTTTAAGTGTTAGACGAGTAAAAGAAAAAAAAAGCAAAAATTTGCAATTTATGAAGCATCGATTATTGATGAAAATTTCGTTGAGTTATCCAAAATTTTTTGAAGGGTTCGTTTTGAAAATATAAAATTTTTTTTCGCAAGTTTATACATTGTCTTTTTAAATTACAAAGTGATAGTCATTTATTTGAACAAAATAAACTGTTATTGTAAGTAGAAAATAATTATTTAATTAATATTGAATATTTATTAATTATTCATTTTTGTTCGATCGATATTATTACTAGTTTTTTTTAATCTGACTGTGCCTGAACGCACTAGTCCACCAAGATTACTACCAGCAGGATACCACATATTTTCAGGTATATTTGAATAATATCCATTGTAAAATTATGGATTATTATGAGGAAATCCAGTGTTCATTCCAAATCCTCCGTATGATTTACCATATGGTTGATTCTATCCATATGTTAAAAAAAAATAAACATAAAATGAATTGAATAAGAATCCAGTTACAAACGAATATAATTATTGAATTGATTTTATGGTGTGGGTGGGTGTGGGTATGGGTAATGCTATAGCAGATGGGGAGAGCGTGGTGAAGGGAATGAGTGTAGAACTCGGAGCGAGCCGCAGCATCAGAGGAT